TAGCCATCCGGTTGTTGTACTGTGTTCTACACTCCTCTGCCTCCCACCCTCAAACCCAGATTATGAGTCCTTTTGACATTTGTCTCTGAATACTCAGAGGCACATAGTAAGTATTTCATAATTATTCACAGAAGCAAACACATCATATGTGTGGCTCCCACATAGGCTGAGTTCCACCTCTGCTAAACTATACCTGGCTTTCCACCCTCTGAGTTATGATTGTCGTGCACAGCAAGCGCCCCTTAGCTAAGACGTGATTAGAGGCCACAGCCCTGAAGGCAAGCAAGTGGTACTTGGGACTGGAAAAGCCCTCCCAATACTGGTCAGAGTTCTAGCCCACTAGCATGTCCCTTTTGTAAGACCATTGTGGCCACTGAGCCTGATAGAAAAGGAAAAATACCTTTCTTCCCAATAAGTTATTTACTTCTGGGGCCAGCTCAGCTAAATTTCATTTTTGCCATGTGCATAGTAAAATTCCTGTCACCTAATTTTTAATACTGGTTTTGATGCCACAGGCAGAAAAACAGCTAGATTATCTGTTCCCAAGAGCAGCTCACAGTGTGACCACTTTGGAGGAAGAAAAAAAAAACACCTCTGGGTTGTACACAGAACAAGTTGAATGTAGCTACAATTGGGAATAAATCAGAACAGAACACCCATAAGGTTATTTAAGTAGTGGCCTCGGGGATGACATCTGTACCTTGGAAAGCTATCAATTTCTCACCCACAGGGGAGGAAGAGCACATGAGTGAGGTAAAGCAGGTAAGAGTGTAGGGGATGGTAGGAACTGTCAGGCAGACCACCAGGGAAATGATGGTACTCACTTTCCATCTTTTTAGTAACACTGCCATCTACTGAAACTCCCCACTCCTGTTTCTGCACCAAATCCATGGAGGCCTACAGTCAGTTTTGTTTACACATTTTCTTGTGTGGTCTCATTTCTCATTTGATTTACTATTCCATTTGCTGTTGTGATGTTCCCCCATCCCCTTTCAGAAATTAATTCTGTAATTATCCAACTTTAATAGCTGCTGATTTGGCATCTGCAGGAAATATTGGAGAAAATGTACCACTACATTTCATTTGCATATTTGAGAGACAGTGAAGCAGAATTAGACTTTTCCTCAATTACTTATTGTGACCTGAATACAGAAAAACTATTTCACCAAATGGAATTCTCATTTGCATACTAAATTTGTCCAGTTACCATCATAGTATGAGCAAAGAGCTAAAGTTCTTCCCCACACAGTGCTGTGACAACTTAAGAAGTTTATCTTAAAACTTGGACTTCTCCATGGAGTTTTCATGCCTATTAGAGGCAGCAGGATGTGCCACTGTCTTCACTCTGTGTCACCTCATCCTTCAGCATCGTGGTGGATTTTTGCAGAATGCATCCATCAGTAATTGTTTAACTACAAGACTACCCAAACCACCAGCTGTGTCATTCCAATTGCAGGTACGCTGCCTTGTATAAAATATGGCTAAGGAAGCCAGACACCCTCTCTCACAATAAGGCCATTGTACCTGGAAAGGTGCACAATGCATGTATGACCATGCATTCTGTGAGAGCTGCAAAGATCAGAGACCCATTGAACAAACATATCTTGAGCTTGGGCCGGCAGTGACTTTCAGATCTTCCCCTCACCAACACTAGTCACACAACTTTCCTGAGCCTCAAGCACCTGTAGAATGGGTAGGATCTCATGGACTTCAAAGATCTGCTTGTGAAGATTAATGAAACAGAATTCCTGGTATAGAGGCAACCCCCAAAGCATTTTGGTTCCCAACTTGTTCCAGGCAGGAACTGTCTTGAATAGCAAGGTAAGGGTTCAGACTTTAGGTAACTCATTGGCTAGAAGACATTTGATTTAGGGGTCAATTGTTTTTATCCATCTGCTAGATGATTAAGGCAATTATAGTAGGTGGTCTTTTTTTTTTTTTGAGTTGGAGTCTCACTCCGTTGCCCAGGCTGAAGTGTAATGGCACGCTCACGGCCATCCCAGCATTGACCCACTGGGCTCAGCCAATCCTTCCACCTCAGCCTTCCAAGTAACTGGAACTACAGGCATGCACTACCATGCCCAGTTAATTTTTTTTTAATTGTACAAACGAGGTCTCACCAAGTTCCTTGGGTTGATCTCGAACCTGCAGTCTCGGGCATTCCACTTGCCTCAGTCTCCCAAAGTGCTAGGATTACAGGCTGAGCCCTGTAGGTGGTCTTTAAAGAAGGCCCCAACAGTTCTCTCCTGCACACACATGCCATGCTCTTACATCAGTAGGAGAGATATATGTTTCCTCCTGTTGAGTCTAAGCTGAGTCCATGATCTCCTTGACCAATAGAACATTGTACTGTGAAAGCATCACTGGCTTGTCCCAGCCCTACATCTTTGGAAGGCGTATTCCCTTGGGAGCCTGGAGCTGCTGTGCACCTTGTTGGAGAGTCCACTTGGAGGGACATAGGCAGAACCAGACGGAGCCCCAGGATTCCACTGATCTAACTCAGCCAGCCCAGGGGCCCCTCACTCTGGGAGCCAGGCTTGCTCAGGGACCATCTCTGTAAGTCAACAGACCATCCTGGGTGGTCCAAACTTACCAGCACCACATGGAGCAGAGACAAGCCATCTTGACTATTTCTCTTCTGAATCCCTGACCCATGGAATCATGAGATATTATGGCGTAATTATTGTTAACTTTTTACTCCATTTTGCCCTGGGTTAGTCTTTTCTTATAAATGTTTAAAAGTGAGGGCTGGGCTCGGTGGCTCAGCCTGTAATCCCAGCACTTTACAAGGCCAAGACAAGTAGATTGCCTGAGCCCGCAGGTTTGAGACCAGCTGGGGCAACTTGGCAAGACCTCATCTCTACAGTAAATCAAAAATTAGTTGGGCATGGTAGCGTGTGCCTGTAGTGCTGGCTACTTGGAAGGCTGAGGCGGAAGGATCTCCGTAGCCCAGCAAGGCAACGCTGGGGTGGCCGTGAGCGTGCCACTGCACTCCAGCCTGGGCAATGAAATGAGACTCCAACTCAAAAAAAAATGTGAAGCTCATTCCATTTCACTCTGTGTATTCCTGTTTGTTGGATTCATAGCCACTTTATCATCATATGGCAACAGAGGAACAAGAGCCAGAATAAGAAGTCCAGTCACCAAGGGAAATAAAGACATAAAACTGAGCTAGCCCTTTTTTTACTCCTGTGCCAAATACTACAGATTTTCCTTTGTAGAAAGTGTTCTCGTCCTTACACATCAAAGCTTCTGCTCCTCTGCCCTACTTCTCACTGATTTCAGGGAACTTGAAATATTTGTATGAGGTCATTGCCATTTTCAAGCTGTGATTAATAATGCCAACTAGTTGTCATCTTTTCCTGAAACATGTTGCCTCCTTTTTAATTCCTGGAATAAACAAAGTTGGTACCTTTGTCTCCTAAGGGTACTCAGACCCCATATAAAAGCTACTTCTATGCAAAAGAAAGACCAGGTAAGACCAGATTTAAGACCAGGTCCACCAAATGGGGATCCTTAGAAATTGTTTTAATTATCAGAGTATATGTTTCCCCAGTGATGAAAATGAAAGGAATAATCCCCATAGTAAAACTGCTATCAGGATTAACTAAGTAGTGAAAGGGCCACTATTTAGTATCACATCTGGTACATAATAGTTGCTTGATTCAATCAATTGCCTTCCATCTGTTGCTTATAAATCTAATGTTGTACCTTTTTAAGGTCCTCCTTAATTCTCCAGTCTCTTTCTCGAAACTTCTAAGGTATTTATTCTTCAACTTGAGAGTACTTACTCAGATTTTTGTCTTGTTCTGTTATTCCAGTCCTTCACCCATACCAATTTGTTTCCTTGCAATGGGGCAGTTAGTTCTGCCAGGACAAAACTTGAGAGTAAGCTTTGACTCTGACTTCCCATTGCCTGCAACCCATTCATGTCAGAGGTCTATGATTCGATGTATGAACAGGCCTCTTTACTCCTTTCTTCATACCTCCCCACAGACACTACCTAATCCAGCTGTTGCCACACATCACCTAGACTGCAGACAAAGCTTTCTAGCTGCTGCCTCTTATCACTTCCTCACAACCCCAACTCCCAGTCCACTCTCCACCAGTCAACATGATATTTTTAATATAAAACCTGATAATGTCATCCTCCACTCACTTGGGAGGTTCCTTGTTATGCTTAGGATGAAACCCTGTACATTGGCAAGGTTCCCCTCCCATAGTCTCTATTTTTAGCTCTCCATGTTGCCCCTGCCCCAGCCACCTGCAGCAAGTCCCTTACTTCCTTGTTAATAATGGCCGCTTATCTTTCAGGGCTTGCTTTAAGTTCACCATCTAACAGATGGTTTCCCTGACCTCCACCCCTTCATCTAGATTAGATTTAATTAGATCTGTCCCCACCTCCATTTCCATTACTCTCTTTTGGCACCCTGTTTTTCCCTCTGTATATTGCCTATCATAATTTGTCCTTGTACTTTTATTTGTGAGCTTATTTTCATTTAGTCTGTTTGCACTGTCACCACCTCCCTGTTGTCCCTGTAAGTGCAGGTTCTATGGCCAATGCCTGTGCCCAGCTTGCTAGCCATGCATGCCTTGCACAGAGCACAGAGCCAGAATCTCAGCCAGAACCTATGGGATGGATTAATGTACAGAGCTGTGAAAGACTTCTGGTCCCACCAGTGCCCAGTGTGGTGCTTAGCACCTGGGACTTGCCTTATGAAAGTACAGTTATTTTCATTTTTGAAAATTTGGCTGCTGCTTTTAAAAAGTCACTTTGCCAATAGGAGTGATCTATCTTGAATGGCTTTGGAAGAATGGGCACAACTCAATCAAGGGTCTAAGACACATTGGTGCCTCCCCTGGAAAGTGCATCCTAAGGATGGCTCTGCTAATTCAGGGCACTGAAGGCAAAGGTAAAAGGAACAAAGGAATCTTGGGCCAGGAGTTTAAGAGATCAATCATGTGAACAAGACAAGACATGTGTGTTCATCAGCAGGTACCTGTGGGTGATCTTCATGGTACAACCGAGGCAGCAGCCTCACCATGATACACATGATCCCAGGATTCATGATCACAGCATCACCTTCATCCATCCTGCTGAGAGAGGAAAAGCAGGACATCAGACACAAGACTTCTAGTCTCTTCCCCTTTTCACCCAAGCCAAATTTTCCCAACTGAACAATGACATTGATAATACTACACTTTCCTCCTAGAGGAATAGATAATAATGCTTCTGTGCTCTAAGGCATAGTGCCTGGCACATAGTTGCCACTCAATTTAGTTCCCTAGTCTTCTTCCTCTCTCTCCAGATATGTGGGGGATTAGCATGTTCTTCTTTCATATTAAACACAAGCATACATGCTTGCACACATGCATGCACATACATACACTGTTTTCTGGATTCCTTCAAGATCATGAACACACTCTTGTGTGTCCCACCCACTGCCTGCAACTAACACCCAGATAGCACTCATAGAGCAGCCCTCTGAGAACTCTGGAAGGTAAATGGTACCAAAGAACAAAGCAAACTTGAGGCACCATGGAACTGGCCATGAGTTTCCTGGGCTTGCCACCTCCAGTATCCCCTGGTGTGGACTCACAGGTAGCCTAAAACCTGGAGCTATTCACCAGGTATAGACAAGATGGAAAGAATTCCAACAGAAGTTTCCTATTTCTGGGCTGAGGAGCAGGAAAGGAGGCTCGTACAAATCACAGATCATGATGGAAATTCCCTAGGATTTTATTTGTTTGGTTTCTCCATTTTTGCCCTTCTTCTGGACAATTCCCTCAGGAATAGCAACAGCAACAACAGCTAGGCAGCCTCTAGAACTCTCAAGGAGGAGAAATATTTTCTCTGACCAGATAAACTGTGGTCCAAAGGGCAAGGTAAAATCCTTATTGCTGCTGTTGCTGTTGTCTTCCCTTTTTCCTTTCCTGCTTGACCCCAGAGAGAGATGCAATTGTGGAGAACAGCAGAGAAACAAAAGCCCCAGTTTTCCAGGCAGAGAAAGAAGGGGAGCCCTGAAAGCCAGAAAGTGCTAGGAAGAAGATAAAGAGGAGGAAGATGAAGAAAATCTGACCACTAAGTTGTGTATTAGCCTCAATTCTGACTGTGTATGTGTAGATCTGGCCCTAACTAGAGGAGTAAACAAACACTGAGACTGGCTACTGCATGAGGCAAGTGGAGTATACCTCAAATCACCCTGCAAAGTCTTTGAAAACTCAGTTGATCCTGGAACCACAATCCACAGAAGGTGGATAGAAACTAGCTACCTGAAACTAAGCCAATTGCCTACTAAAACAAAATCAACATTCTCCCATAGAGCACCAACAAAAGACAGAATTCACAAGATAACATTCAAGATATCCAAGATAAAACCTGAAATTGCTCGACATAGAATAAACCAGGGTCTCAATATCTCACAAGGAAAAAGTTAACTGACAGATGCCAGGACTGAGATGACACAAACATTGAAACTATCAGATAAAACCTTTAAAGCACAAAAAAAGCAATAAGAGGAAAAGTAAACTTAAAAACTGAAAAATCTAATAACTAAAAATGTTAAAACTCACTGAATGACACTAGAATGAAAAGAGAATAAAGAATCCATGAACTTGAAGTTGGATCAATAGAAATGTACCAATCTCAACAACAAATATGAAAAATATTTTTTTAAATGATACAACCTCAAGGTCATGGGTCAGAATAAAAAAGGATCTAACCTTCTTGACACTGGAGTCTCAGAAGAAGAGAAGAAAGAAGATGGTGTAAAAGAAAAATCTTTTTAGATTTTTAAAAGAAGTTTTAGCCACTCTTTCTTCAAATTTAGTGAAACACATAATCTTAAAGATTTGAGGAGCTTAGCAAAACTCAAATGAAATAAACATAGAAATTCATCCCAGGCAAATGTTAATCAAGTTGCCACACCCTGAAGACAGTGAAAACAAATCTCAAAAGCAGCCTGAGAAAAACAACACATTACATCTAGGGAAATAACAATTTGAATGACTAAATTTTCACATGAGAAAGCAGAAATAGGAACGTTTTTAAAGTGCTGCAAAGAAACATACATAATTCCATATCCAGCAAAAATATCCTTCAGAAACAAAAGAAATACACCCACAATGCCCATTCTCACCCTTCCTATTCAATATAGTATTGGAAGTCCTGGCTAGAGCAATCAGAAAAGAGAAGGCAATCAGGGGTATCCAAACAGGAAAAGAGGAAGTCAAGTTATCTCTCTTTGCAGATGACATGATTGTGTACCTTGAAAACCCAAGAGAATCTGTCAAAAACCACCTTACACTGATAAAGACTTTGGCAAAGTCTCAGGATATAAAATAAATGTGCAAAAGAAAATCGCATTTCTTTACACCAATAATAAACAAACAGAAACCCAAATAAAAAACACAATTCCATTCACAATAGCCACAAAAAAAATGAAATCTC